GCAATTGCCAAAGCTGACCCCATGGCCTAGGGCTCCCAACCACTGAAATTTACTCTTTTTCGATCCAATGGGCTTCAACATTTTTGAAATCCCTGAAAAAAGTGCTTTGTAAATTTCTGTAGCCCATTTTCCTAGGAGCTACCAAGTAGTGATGAAGCCCTTAGAAAAAGGATGTGCAGCATGGTTTAACGGCCTCACTTTTAAAATCATTGTGACAAAGTTATAGGTTTGTTTCCCCTCTCACTTCTGTTTTGTTTTTTTTTTTTCCAATGACTGCTCCAGGTATAGGATTTATGATGTCCTTCTGAGCCCGGCTCACGAAGTTGAGCTCTCTGTCGCGAGAGAAGCTTTGCTTAAAATTGCACAGCAAGAACTGAACTAAACGCCAGGTTGAATTCAGCTGGGAACACCCTCTTTGAAGGTAACACTAACAATCAAAGCCAGACTTCCAAATACTGTGATAATAAGGCCCCAAAGGAGTTGCTGGATGAGATGAGGGACTTTGCTGGCCGGCTAAAATATACAGGCTTGAAACGACCACACACACACCCATGGCATCCACACACACACAACACACAACATATGCACATATTTAACTGAGTTGCAAAGCACACAGCACTACGAGAGATGATATGGCAGGACTAGTCCATTCTCTGCTACAATCAGGCTGTGAATATTAGTTTTCTCCTTGGTGATTGCACTTCCAGTTGATTGTTATTTTTCTGTTCCAAAGTGTTGATCTATTTTCCTTTAGGGAATTTCTCCTTCAGACGGTGGCACGAATCGACATATATTCTTAAAGGGCGGTCGTTGCTTGTGTGCGTTTGTATGGTCTCAATGCTCACCCGTGCCGAGTTTTGAAAATCCTCATCCCGTGCTTCCATTTATTTCTCCGAATCCATGTTTTGTGTGCCTTGCATGCTGTAGAAGTTCCGGAGTCCCTATCACAAGGGATAAAAATGTTCCCAAGGCAAGTCTTAATTTTGGGGGCGGGTAGCTGGAAGTATTCGGGTGATGTCACCAGTCTGGGGCGTGGTCTGGACGTTCAGAAAACTCTTGGTTTTCAGGTCAACACAAGATTTAACAAATCGGGAGTAAAAGCCCGTCTGAGAGTGACGTGAAGAAATTTTGAAGCACTTCGACTATTGATGTGTCACGCGCAGTAACCAAGGCTGGTACACCTGTGTGGCCCTCCAGCGGGCTGATGACCAAGCGCAACAGCACCTTTTCCACGGTCCACGGTAAGCGAGGTTCCTCGAATTATTCCGTGCCGTGACGGGTGAGATCATTTAAATAAATTCAGATCCTTAGTTGATTCTTACTTTTATTCATAAGATTTTTTTTTTTTTTGAGACATAGCTCGTTTGTAGCAGCTAGAGATGAGGCGTGGTGTCAGCCTCGCTCAGCAGCAACCTCAATTCCTGGGCTCAAGCGATCCTCCTGCTCAGCCTCCCGAAGTAGCTGGGACTGACAGCGCATGCGCCACCATCCCGGCTAGATTTTCGTTAATATATGTTACGTTGCCAAAATCTTACTTAGTTTATAGTAGAGATGGGTGCGTCTCGCTCTTGTCAGGCTGGTTTTGAACTCCTGACCTCAGCATCCGCCCGCCCGGCTCCCAAGTGCTAGCATTACAGGCGTGAGCCACCGCCGCCCGGCCCATTAAGCATACTTTTGATTCTTGCGGGGAGGCCGACCTAGCAGGTTAAGAGCATAACTCTGCGCGTCAGGGACCCGGGTCAAATCTCATGCTTTCAAGATGAGATACGCGGACATAATAAGTGCTCACTTAAACAATGAGTTGCTTGTTACTGTTTTGCCTGCTTTGTAAATTATTCCTATAATAAGCAGACTGCGTATATCTAAGTTATCTTAATTTCATTTCATTGCAAGGCAGAGAGGCACTCTCGAAAAAGCAACATGCTTTGTATAATTGAGGAACATTTGCAATGTCCCTGCAGACACCTGAATCAGGCACGGGTATAAGATGCCATTGAACTGACCCCCACAAAGTCAAAAACTACTCTGATCGCTGAAACTTAACTACTAATAGCCTTGACCAGAAGCTTGCCCATCCTCCCAATCAGTCAATGGACAGATTTTGTATCCGTATATGTATTCTTTGATTGTATCTTACAGTCAAAGTAAGCCAAGAAAAGAAATATGTTATTAAAGAAAAATCTTAAGGAAGGAGAAACACGATTTGTATTCTTAGTAGAAGTGAGTAACACTGGAGGTCTTCGTCCTGTCATCTTCACATCGAGTAGCTGAGCAGGCGGCTGTAATGAGGATGGGTCGGTCTTGCTGTCTCAAGGGGTGGCAGAGGCAGAAGAAAATCTAGCTTATAGGTGGACCCGCTCGGTTCAAGTCTGTCTTGTTCCAAGGGGTCGACTGTAATCGAATGTGGATTCAATGGCTTTCTGTGGGTCTTTGCATAAATCACCTTAAGTTTTTAATTTACTTCCCTTCCACTCCCACATGTCTTTCTAGATAACGGAATAATATTATATGGCACCCTACTTACAAGCCTTGGTGCAGAGTTCGGACTTATAATATGGGAATGCATACACCCCCTGAGGTGTTTCGAGTCAGAGGGAGACGATGCACTCTTAACGTCATGCTTTATAGGATATCTGTTATACTAATACCTTAGGATGCGAAAGGCAGAAGTAGCGGTAGCCACGTAGAGGCTCATTGCAATAATCCAGGCAAGAGATGGCGGGTGGCTTGGCCAACGAATGGAGGCAAGGGTCGCGAGCGTGGTAAGAACGCGATCCAGATTCTGGAATAAGTTTTGAAGGAGGTCAACCAGGATCTGCTGACAGGAATGTGGTGACAATGGATTCATGGCTGTGGGGTGTTAAAGGGAGAAGAAGTGGGAGATGAACGTAGAGGTTTAGCGAGCAGGCCGAGTAGATCGGACTGGCTCGTTACTAAGAGAGAGGAATTCCGAGACGGGTAGTGAATTTCGGGAACTAGCATGGGCATGTTCATTTCGGCGGATGCCATTAAGATCTTAGTTGGAGATATTTTAATCCATAAGCCTGGAACCCAGAGAAGGCAGTCAAGCAGGAGATAAAATTTAGGAGTGTGTCAATGATGCTTCTATCTAGACTAGAGGAAGGTGTAGCATAAAGAGGAAGGTCTCAGCGATCCGGTGGCATCACAACATGGGCGGGTGTGTGTAGGGGTGTTGTAGGAACAGAGGCAGAAGGGGTTCTCTGTAGGAGCTTAGAGAAAGCTGTGCATGAGGAGCACATGCCTGAACCAGGAACTTGAGCAATCAAGTAGGCTTGGGACACCGCCAGGGCACAGAGAAAAGCAAACACAAAGACTATAGGGTGAGAGAAGCCAGAACGTGACCCTAGAGGAAGTAGTGTAGACGATCTCGGAACCCTAGCTACTCAGGACCCCAGGGGTCTACTGAACTTTCCCTTGAAATGGAAACGAAATCCAACGACTGCGGAAGTGACACTTGGAGAAATAAATCATTTTTCATTTTCTTGCAGGAAAACCTTGTTGTTGGTTGTTGGAGTGCATGAATCCTTGGTGGAAAGCCACGGTGGGGGAGCGTGTCCGAGTCCCCGTGAGTACCTGGGCTACCCGGCCCCTGACATCAATGGAATCACGTGCCGGGAGGTGGTACGCCAAGCTTCGTTCCCATGAGAGCAAACCCTCGGATCGTCCTAATCCGGAGGCTTTTCTTCCGTAGGTATAAAAACGGAAGGCCCATTCGAGTCCAATCACACGATGCAGAGTGGGCACGTTGACCATTCTGGAAGTGGAAGTGAAAAAACGCGGCAATTTACACCGTCTCCTCACCAACCCGCATTTCAAAGGGAAGCAGAGCCACGTGGGTGTCTCTGCTTCGGTGAGGATGCGTGAGTGGTTCGGTTCGGTTTTCTTCATGCTGGCCAAGATTTGACCAAGGCTGCGCTGCGGTCTGTGTCCCTGGAACAGACAAGCCACTCCCTTTGTCTCCGCTGGGTCCCCACATCATGTCTGGGGGCTGGTTGCATATAAAGGGTGCTGGGGGGGCCAAAATGCAACGGGAGACGGGTGTCTAGCGGCGGTGTTTATAGGCCGTGTAGACGCGCTATGGGGTCAAATTGTGAGGATTAGAATGCATGGGTGCCAGTCGATGGGCAAACTCTGCGACTTAGCAAGACCGGCGAGCCGACAGTGTCAGGCCCACGCTACTGACTGCTGTTCTCTCTCCCTGGTGGACACCTGGCGCACAGATGTGCGAAGACTCTTCTCCCTGAGTTAGGTGGAGCTTCCAAGCCTCCATGCTGTAGGTGATGATGCAGGCGACTCGCTGGTGCATTTTCACGCTCCTGAACCTGTTTGATAGGACACACCTGTGGTTGGAATCGTTTTTTTTTTTTTTTTTTTGGTGATAGAGTATAGCATCTGAATCTGTAAAGGAAGATAGTAACGGTTTTGATTTGAGGATGATTTAACTTCCGTTTCTCAAGGCGGAAAGGATACAAACAACATGTTTTGGGGCCTGGGGGAAGAAGGTGGTTGGTCCAGTGGAGTGGGAGGTAGCTGATAAGGGATACAAGCCAGGTTCTTATTGCAGGACTTCTCAGGGCCTTTAACATGGCTAACGTATATTGCCATTGCCTCAGGGGAGAGATGCAGGAATACTCAAGATGTTAACAAATTTATTTGACCAGAGTGTTTTTCCAGGTAAATCCATGTCGTTATCTTGCTCAGTTTGAGAAAATGCTTCTCTGTTGTCGTTCTTGGTTCTCCTACTCGGCATTGGTGTAATAAAACTTAGAGGGCGCGGCCGGGCATCGTGGGCTCATGCTGTAATCCTACACTCTGGAACTAGGTGTGGACTGCTCGAAGGTCAGAGTTCGAAATCCATGCCTGAGCAAGAGCGAGACCCACGTCTCCTACTAATAATAGAAACAAATTAATGGCCAACTAACAATATATATAGAAAAAATTAGCAGCGCATGGTGGTGCATGCTGTTCCAGTTACTCCGGAGACTGAGGCAGGAGGATATCGTGACTCAGGAGTGTTGGAGCGCTTGGCTGTGAGCTAGGTGACGCCAATGGCACTCTTAGCCTGGCAACAGACGTGAGACTCTATCTCAAAAAAAAAAATAAACTTCAGCGGTGTCCATCGACGATCAAGTGCTTCCCCCATGTGTCCTGATGACTCCTCTGTCATGTCTGCCGCGAGCTTGGCTTTCATGCTCTTTGCAGCGGAGTATTTTAAAATAACACGCGCTCTAGGACAAGGTTGCTTAAAGCAGGCATGGGGTGGGGGGGATGGGGGGAGGGAGAAGAAGCCGAGATCATGTACTTTTAGTAGGATCGGAAAAAGGAAACGAATAAAGAGGAGAGAAAATAGGACAGTGACTAACCCCATTGCAATCGTTCGTGAAGTTAGCAACATTTGATTCACTCTAGCACTTTACCTTGCTTATGATAAACAGCAAAGCAGGTCAAGTTGTTGCAAATATAATATGAGCTTTTAGGTTGGACAGTGATAAGGAAATATTTTGTGCTTAATGCCTTTGGAGCCAAAAGAAAGAAGAAAAAGGAGACAGAAGTGGAAGAGGGAGGAAGAAGAGGGGGTGGGGGAGGGGACTGAAAAGCTCAGCTGTGGCAGTGGCAGGGATGCGTCTCAAAGATTGACACTCCTTTTAGTGAGTTGGTTAAGCGTTCATGTCAGAAGTCGGAGTGTCTCATTTGTTCCAGGTTTCTGCACTTACAACCTGGTGACTTGGGCAAGTCATTTAACTATTTCTATGTTTCATTTTCTTATTTGTGCTCATGCATACGAAAATGATGGTGGTTGTGAGGACTAAGTGACTTAATGGCCAAGACTTGGCTGTAATAAGCGTGTTTATCCATTCCAGCTACTTCTTCTGCAGTCTCACCCTGCTTGCAAGACTCAGAGGACAGGAGGAACTATCTCTTGTCGATGCAGAAAGAAAGAACTGGAGGCACAGCGTGTGTAAGACTGCCCTGAATCACTCAGCTATATGTATGATTATTGATTAGCTACCGTGAATTTTATATCGCTAGGATTCTGGTTCTGTTTCCGAGGTCTAGATGTTCTTGCAAAAGAAGTGGGGAAAATCCGTGCTTTAACAAATGTCAGCTGTTGTTGCTGGAACTCTACTTCTTATTCTGCAAAGCTGATGGGGTAATCCACCGTGGTTTTCGCCCAGTTCAGCGCCAGCGCGCAGAGTCACAGGCGAAAGTCCGATCTTCGTGGATTCTACCGAGTGGTATAATTTGACACGTACGGCACCACCCAGACGCTGACTGGTGTCTATCTTGGTGGCTTTGATACTTACGCGGTGATTCAGGTTCCTCCGCACAGATCGCCTACTTCGTAGTGAGAAGTGATCTGCAGTGTGAGGAAGAGTGTCCACAAGCCAAGGTAAGTCAGGACCATGGCTGTTCTCTCCTGGTTTTGACATTCGGTGACGCAAGCTGGCAAGAGACGAGCCTTGGGAACCCTAAGCGTAGCTAGCGGCCACTTAGGAAGTTTCTCCCCAAGCTAGATAGGTTGAGTACAGTTCGTCCATTCCTTCACTCTCTCTTTGTCTTAATTTTTAGCGTCTTGCTATAAGTAGTCGTTTCCACTGTTTTGCTGAATGTAACTGCGTAGAGAGCTTCTTTCTAGGGTCAAGCCTCTTATATACACAAGTCTCCAGTGCAGGCAATTGCCAGAGGCACGTTACTGTTTCTCTCTTGATTTCTTATCGGTGCCATCAACGGCTGGCGTTCGTGTCCGGGAATCTTAGTCTCTCTGCTATTTGCTTAACTTTCCATAAAATAAGTGTGATTAAAAGAATTGATAGTAAGCAGTGCTCTGAACATTGAATTTTTCATAAAATTGCCTCCAACAATACAATTCTTTTTAATCCTTGGTCTAGGCAAGAAAGGAGACAAATTCAATTGCACATGGGTTTACTTGGCAGAGAAGAGCAGTCGTAATGAATCGCCCGACACCATATCCTGAATTGACTTATTTTTCGATGTCCCTGTCCTTTACCTTAATCTCCAAGACCTTTCTATAGGGAGTCACTCTTAATCGTCTGATATTAGCAATGCGGAAAGGAGCTGTCCTCTTACCTACAACTGCAACTATGTACGTAATGGACTGGTAACTCTCATCATTAATTTTGGCTTCGCAGAAGACCATGCCAGCATAGCTGATCATGTAGCTGGGAATAGTAAAGCCTTTCTTGCTGTCCCAGGAAATTCTGTTACCATCAGGAACAAACCGCCTTTCTGGATACCTCTGTTTAATAAAAAGAAATATCAAATATGTAATCCAGTACCGAAAATGAACGCCACGTACAATGATCACTGATGAATTTACCTTATTCCTAAGAACACATTCGTTGTCATCTGACTCTTCCTAAAGGATCTTTTAAAACTCATTGTGGGGTATTTTAAACAAGCTGCCCATCTTACTATTAGGTTAAAATTATAAAAACTCGAGAGATGGTTGAAGAAGACGTAACTTACCGCACAAAGTGACACGTTGAGGTTTGAAATGGACCCAAGACATGGAATCACCACAGTTTTGTTTTTGTTCTCGGTAATATACACAACTTCATGCTGGTCACTGACAGATGCAATAAATGGAGATCTATAATCTAGAAGAAGATTTTGTTCCGTCAGTGAGTTAATGGTATTTACTAGAAAAGCTGGTCATCTTTGAAGTTCCTAAACTCTAACCAGAGAAGTGAATGATTGGAAATGACACCTCACGCAAGCAAAGGTGTCCACAGGTTAGCCTGCTTGTGATAACTTTGGCTGTTCATGTGTTATAGGTGGTTGTTTTGTGTGTGTTGTTTTGTTGGTGGGGGGTTTCGTTGTTATGTATTATTGAATAGTTTGGTTTTAGCCCCTTTTACACACTCATAAAAAAGTGGTATTATGTTCAAAATTCCAATGTCAAAATTCTTAAAGCATGTTCAATTCCTTAATTTTAAAGTAAATCTGCACATTTACTTTTTTGAATTACAAAGGGGAAAGAAGGCATACACCTTTTTTGGGCATTAGTTTTTTATTACTGGATGTTAAAATTTTTTCTTCTCTTTAATATAATATTGTAAATGCCGGATGAATAAACCAATTAATGGATTCAAAGGATCCTTTTTTAATAACAGGAATACTCTAATCATACTTTTGAATTCGATTTATATGAAGGAGGGAATTTTTTTTTTTATTTTTTTTTTTGGACAGAGTCCGCTTTTGTTTGTCCAGGCTAGAGTTTGAGTGGGCCGTGGCGTCCGGCCTAGCTTTCCACAGCACCTCCAAAAACTGCCTGGGGGTCAGGTCGGATCTCCTGCCTTCAGCCTCAAGTGCTGGGACTACAGGCATGTGACACGCGGCGGTAATTTTTTATATATATGTAGTTGGCAATAATTTCTTTGTATTTATAGTTAGAGACGGGGTCTCGGCTTTGCTCAGGTGGTTTTTGACTCTGACTTGGAAATCCCCGCTCGGGCCTCCCAGAGAGCTAGGATTACAGGGTGAGCCACGCGCCCGGCCTAAGAGAATGTTTTATGTGAGCATATTAAGACCTGAAGGACTAGAGATTGTGGCTCCTTTATAAAATAATTTTATAGTCATTCCCTTTACATTTAAAAATTCAGCAGTCATTATGTTTCAAAAATTTGAAGGCGGGCGTTGGTGGCTCACGCTGTAATCTACACTTTGGGAGGCCGAGGCAGGGCGGTTGCTAAGGTCAGGAGTTGAACCAGCCGGAGCGAGCTCCGGCTCTGACAAAAATAGAAATAATTTAATTGCACAATTGAAATATATATATACAAAAAATTAGCCGGGCATTGGTGGCGCATGCTTTGTAGTCCGCTACTCGGGGGCTGAGACAGGAGGATCGCTGGCCCCGGAGTGTTTGAGGTTGCTGTGAGCCAGGGCTTGATGCACGAGCACTCACTTTAACCTGGGCACAAAGTGAGGACTTGTCTCAAAAAAAAAAAAAAAATTGAAAAGCCACCATGCCAAAGATGGAGAACAAAAACTAAACCATGATTTATACAATATTAATACACGCTGTGGGAAATCCGGCTCTCGCCCCAGAGATAAAGATGGTATGGTGTGGACTCATGCTTCAAATCTCCGAGAGATAAACATTTCACACTAGTTGGCCCAACACATCTGATCAAGTATTGTCAGAGCTTCATGATGGTCGTCTCTCAAAGCGAAGAAAGAGTTAATTAAACCAAAGGGCAGAAAGGCAGCTCACTCCCTGCAACTGCAGAAGTTTGATTTCCTTCCCAGCTGGAAAGCACGGAAAATCAGCCAATCTAGCCCACCACCCGCCACAGCCATTATCTTAGAAGGCCAGGGCCCACTTCCTGGCTCCAACCATTGCTGGGGGGGATCGGGGTCAAAAGACCAGGGAAGTAAGGTGGAGACCAGAGGAGACATTAAAGGCCTGCCCATAGGGAATACTTCAGTGTTTTCTTTCCCATTGTTAAACTCCATGACCAAAATCTTGGACAGTCCAACTCCTACAATACCAGGCTTACATATAAAAGCAGAACGTACTGGTGTACTCAAAGACGGGGAGTGTTCAAATAAACTGCACTAGAGATTCTTTTTTTTTTTTTTTTTTTTTTTTTTTTTTGAGACAGAGTCTCACTTTGTTGCCCAGGCTAGAGTGAGTGCCGTGGCGTCAGCCTGGCTCACAGCAACCTCAATCTCTGGGGCTCAGCGATCCTCCTGCCTCAGCCTCCCGAGTAGCTGGGACTACAGGCATGCGCCACCATGCCCAGCTAATTTTTTGTATATATATTTTTAGTTGGTCAATTAATTTATTTCTATTTTTGGTAGAGACGAGGTCTCGCTCAGGCTGGTTTCGAACTCCTGACCTTGAGCAATCCACCCGCCTCGGCCTCCCAAAGTGCTAGGATTACAGGCGTGAGCCACCACGCCCGGCCGAGATTCTTAATATTGCCTACCTTTCGTCCACATGTTATGAAAAATTACATAACTTGCTCACGGAGCGAGACTTTGGAAGCTAAATTAACCCTTGGACGTAAGACTGAAGCCATTCAGTAAATTGATTCTATTTCGGTCCCCCCCCCCCAAAAAAAGGAAACAAACAAAAGAAACCCAAACAACCACCCATCCTCTCAAAATAAAATATTTACTGTAACTCATGAAATGCATTTTCACATGTCTCCAAGTTTCCTGACTTAGGGAGAAGGAAATAACGAGATATTATGGGAGAGGTTCATCTTGCAGTATTTCCAGACAGGCTGAAAGCAGGAAATCCTTGCAATCTTCTGAGAGAGCCTCATCTCCCAAGACTGCCAGATCAAAAGGAGCCAGAAATTCTCCAAGATCTGAGCCTTGTCTCTTTCAAATCCTGCAGAGGAGAGGAGGAAGGCACAGAATTCTGTCTTTGGGAGAAAATAACTCTCAAAAGCTGTGCAATCCGGGAGTAACATAGGTTATTTAGATGTGGCCTCTACTTGCCCACTACCCTGACTACAATCTGCAGTGAAACGTAAATGGAGATACGTAAGTGTATGTCCCATAGCTGATGAAATTCCTGTCCTATAAAAGTTGCATCTGGAAAAAAAATCCAAGTCATCTTTATCTGCCTCAAATCCTCTGGGATTTATGAGACGTATAAATGGGTCAATAAAATGTCTTTAAAAGTTAATCTTCACTGAAAAAAAAAAAATCTTTAGTATACTCAACCAAAATATGATGCAATGCCTACATTCCCACAAATTATATTATAGATATCTCATTAAACTAAGCTCATTAGGTTTTCACAGGTAAAAGGAATAGTATAAGATTTTTGAAACACAAAAGAAAGCATAACTCATATTATACATATTGAATATGTATAACATTATACATGGATGTTAAGTCAGTCTCTGTGGCGTCAATTCCAAAGTGCAAATCCTAGAATGACTGGCATATCATCCATGATTTCAGGCCAAACAAGCAAAAGAAAGAAATACTGTCCTCAAAAGGCCCCCTGAAGCACCTTTCTTTGCACACAAAGTGTAGGAATTGTTCTTTATAAAGTATAAGTAAGAAAAAGAAAGTTCCTACGCACAAAAAAAACTCCAGAGCCCTCAGCAAGAATGCTTCCCTATGCATTCTTGGGGAAATCTCCTCTCTGCTGCAGATAACTTATCTCTCCGCAAGAAAACCTCTCCATAATTCATCACCAGCTCATCCTTGATTTCAAGAATTTCAGGTTTTCTTCTTAAACATCAGAAAGCTTTGAGTAAGTCTCCACTGCCAGGGGTGGACACAGATCTACCTTGGGAACAAAGCTCAGGACCAAACTCACTGGGCAAAAGAGAGGTACCAGGGCCGGAGTTCCAGAGCCCTTCCAGAACCTTCTTTAACAGGGGAAGCCTCAGGAGAGGATTTTGTGCATTCCAGTTGGCAAACAGCCCTCCGGGCAAGCCTTTTGTTGTGCACAATTCTTCTCTGCGCCCATTGTGTTTTATAATTAGTGAACAGACGTGGGAAGTGAATTCTATTCCACCGCTTACCTTGAACGTGGACATAAATGACTGATGCCAAGTCAGTTTCCCGGTAGAAGCACTTGTAGGCTCCAGTATCATTTCCGATCACTTTGGGGATTGTGAGTGTCTTGCAGAAGAGGCTGTCGCTGCACTCTGTTATCCCCACCCTGTCCCCAGCGCCGCTCTGATTGTTGGGCCAAAGCCAGTCCAAGTCCCGGTGTCCTCTGAAAAAAAAAATTAATTCCAGACAGGCATTCATGGGAGGTGCCCTGCTATAAGGCTGTCTTTAAGAAAACGGAAGATTTGGTCCTCAAACTTTCTAGAAACTCCTCAACAGGCAGATTCGAAGCCTTCTACCAACGATGACAGGTTGGGATGACAACGTGACAAAAAGCCACGGGCTCGGCTTCAGAAGTCACTTACGGAGATGCCTGAGTTTTCTATTAAGCAACGCATTCTTTCACTCACCAAGTATTTATTAAGCATCTACTACGAGCCAAGCATTGTTAAGGACCGGGCATAGAGCAGTAAAGGAATTAGAACAAAAATCAACACCCTTATGGAACCTCAGTCAAACTGCAGGAGACAGGTAATTAAAAAACAAGTACAATTTATGGCATAAAACATGGTGTTTGGTCCAAAATGGAGAAAATTACGGAAGATGCAAAGAAAAGGGGAAGAGTTCTGGAAGGAGGGGCTCGATGAGGCTGGCCACATGAACACGGGGAGAAGCAGTATTCAGGGCAGAGAACACAGCACGTGGAAAGGCCCTGGGGTGGGTGCACGTTTGGAATATTAGAAGAAGAACAGCAAGGAAGCCAGGGGGAGCCAAGTCAGAGTGAGCAAGGGAGAGAGTAAGAGGAGAGGTTAGGAAGGAAGGAAGTGGAACTAAGAGACTTGTAGGACCTTTCAGGACCGAGTTCGAACATAGATTACTCGCACTACAGCATTTCTCTAGCCCAAGAAGAGAAGGCCCCAAGGAAGACAGGCAACACCAAGAAGAACGTGACACTATGGGCCCTTCGTTCAGAGAACTCGAAATCTCCATGAAGTTGCAGCTCCATGGGTGAAGTTGCTTTTAACATACTCCATAGCTTTTTCAGAACACAAGAAAAGTGTATGCAGAGTTTTAAAAGGGAGTGTGGAATATTTGGAGATTTTAAATAACCTTGGTTTTCGAGGGAAGGTTAAAAGAAAATATGATAGGAAATGTGTCTTGAACTAGCAAAGCTAAAGAAATAGCACCTGCTACTATGTTTTTTGGTTTTTTTTTTCCCCAAGGGCTGGGTATTGGTGGCTTATCCCTGATAAGGAGGCTGGGGTGTCCCCTACACCCTGCAATCTAAAATAGACCTGCGTCATTCTGCTGGAAGCTTGGTACTTGTCAAGTGTGAAGCAATGGCAATGAGTTGCCCAAGGTTCTTTTGGACCCGGAGGGCGAAGTCACCTCCACTTGTCTTGTTCTCTGCCAAAAACCACCGTGGTCCCAAGAAGCCTTCAGGTCTTTCATGCATGATTGCTACATTAAACCCCAAGCTTTTCTATCTTTCCTTCTTGGGTAGGGGCTGGAAGGTAAAATTTAAACCCTCTTCTTCTTACCAAAGAGGTCTGCTTCCCCAGTTATCAAAAATCAATAGCATGACTTCTTGGGAGCCAGTGGGAGGAGAAACATTCTAGAATACCAAGCCAGAGCATGGGAGGTGCATTGCCTAGGCAATACATGCACTCAGTAATATTACTGGCTAACTATTAAATTAGTATACTATTATAGTCATAATTTTATTATAAAATAAAATTCTTAGAAAGGGCCAAAAAAGGTGTCCAAGAGTCATACTGAATATAATAAATATGGCCCAAAACATGGTCTCAACCCTTCATTCGATATTATTCATTCATTCAATATTTATTGAGTGTCTACTTACTATATGCTAGGTACTATACCAGTTATTGGTGTGCTGGGTGTGTGCTTGTATGTGTGTTGGCAGACAGTAGTAGGAAAAAGTACCAGCAAAATAATACAGAATTTTTGAGAGAAGACCTTTCTTATTTTTTCATTATTACATGAGTTCTTAGAAACTTCATTACTTACAAACAATTACTACAACTCTATTGTAACTCTGCTGTAATGGAAATTATTTTTCCCTCAATAAACAATGAGTTGTTTAACACAGGAAGTCTGAATCTAGAATGAATCCTTACCTGCAATTAATTTGAAGAGTTGTATTAGCCATAACTGTGAGTATGTCTTTTTGTACGCTGAGCTTGGGCGGAGCGAGAGAAGCACTAGGCAAACCTAAAAACAAATTAAATAAATGAATGTAGCTGCCTGGGAGTTAGACCCAGTAGGAAACACCTTCCCTAAACAATGCACACGCTATACTTTAAAAGGCCTCTTCAGCAATTCATTGTATAAAACTGGGGATTTACTTTTCACCATTCTCAGTAAAAGTTCACAAGCTGTGTCATAACAGGAAGAATGGGCAGATGGTCATAAACCAACACAACAGTTCTGCAATTCAGGGACCCAGGGTGGAGTTCCTGTTTTCCTGCATTGCCAACTTCAAGGTCTTACAAAAGGATATGGGACATTGAAATCAAATGAACCTTCATCTGATGATCTCACTCCCTGGGGAAAGGACCCACTGGCATTTCTTATAAAATGTAGGATGTACACATTTGACTAAATTGCTGATGAACCAACACTACTTAGCATGATTTCTACATGGCTCATCTATGGAGCCTGAAGGGCGTAAGAGTGTCCATGACCTTGTCTCATTTTCCCTGATGGATTTTCTAGTGTACTTCCTTCCTCTGGTACCCGAACTGTCCAGGTTGAAACAATGGTTCAGAAAGACTGTACATTCAAACTGGGGCAGAGGAATCAAGGAAGAGAAAACATTTTCCAATTTCATGCATACCGTGTTTCCCCCAAAATAAGACAGGGTCTTATGTTTATTTTTTCTCAAGAAGACACCCTAGGGCTTATTTTCAAGGGATGTGTTATTTTTTTTAAGTATAGAACAACAATCTACACTGATTTAAATAGAGTGAAGTCGTCTTCTTCTGGAACATCATCATCACTCTTCAAACCCCGAATTCCATCCTGAATTTCTTGCGACTCTATTTCCTTTAGAACTAATGCTTCCTTTGGCCCCAATCTCTCATGTGGAGCGCTAGAGCTCTCATGGGACAGATGAGAAGGGCTGCTTGTCTTTTTACCGCTCCACCAAGAAATGCTTGGGTTGTGCAGATGCTCTGTGTAGCCATGCCCATCGCTAGGTCTTATTTTTGGGGTAGGGCTTCTCTTGTGCAAATGCTTAGAAATCCTGCTAGGGGCCGGGCATGGTAGTTCACACCTGTAATCCTAGCACTCTGGGAGGCCAAGGCAGGCAGATTGCTCGAGGTCAGGAGTTAGAAACCAGCCTGAGCAAGAGCAAGACCCCGTCTCTACTATCAATAGAAAGAATTTAATTGGCCAACTAATATATATAGAAAAAATGAGCAGGGCATGGTGGCGCATGCTTGTAGTCCCAGCTACTCGGGAGGCTGAGGCAGGAGGATGGCTTGAGCCCAGGAGTTGGGTAGGTCTTATTTTAGGGGAAACACGGTACATTCCTATGAAAATCCTTGTCTTCAGAAAGCAGTACTAAAAAAAGTGTAATCTAATGAATTACAACTGGGGAATCTCAATTTACTAATCAAAGTTCTGAGCTCATCCTGACACCAAGCTTGGAATACAAGAAACCTGTTTTTACCTAAAGGCTCAAGAGCCAGAGAAATACTCTGGGATAGATTCCTCGAATGGGTCACTCCACAGCAAGATAACTGAGTTCTCCATGAGCTAAATGTGAAGAGCTCACAGGTGTTGAAAAAGCAACAGAGAAAGAAAATCTGTCCACTATGCTATGGTCTTAATACACATCAAGATGTTCAAAACACCAGCTTACAAAGCAATTGATGCTGGGCAAACACCCAAGCTTCCTAACTCACATCAACTAAGAACAAACGACTCTCTAGGCTGAAACTGGCATTGACCTTGTTGGGCAAACAAGGGAGTATGAACAAATATGAGCAAGCATGAGACAATCTGAATAAAGAAAGTATAAGCAAATATCCAGTGCAAATATGCAATGCATTCAATCCGTGGACCCCAGTGTGAACAACTGCAGGAAAAATGAACAATTGATTGCATGTGTTCTCACACACCTACCCACATGTGCAAAATAGGCCACGGACATAATTGCAGATTTCTTGATCAATAACACAGTTTTTCTTAATTAAAACAAAAACCTAGAGACTTATTTACATCCTAAATCTCAAGAACTAATTGGCATTGGTACACTGGCACTGACTTACTGTGTTTGCGCAGTGATTTTTAAAACTCCAGGCTGTGTCTGAATATCCCTGGGCCTACAAATCTGCTTTTTAACACGTGACCCTGTCATACATGGTCCCTCTGGGACAGCTACTGGTCTGGCTAGTCATGTTCAGTTAGTTAGCACAATACTTTGTGATAGGAAGGAAGGAACTGCCCTCAAAGTAGGCAAAATTTTTAAAAGCAAAGGAGAAGCCTTCCAATAATGGATACCTACTTTGTTTAAGACAAAGAAAATAAAAAACAATTTATTTGGATGAATACGAATTTCAAACTTGACCGGGAAGCACAAGGTTGAGAAACCTGTTGAAAACATTGCAAACAACTCACACAACAATCCACATGAGAAAGAATTCAGGATATGGGCACCTTCACTGGAGAGAAAGAAAAATTGTAGCAAAATGACTCAGCTCTCCATAAGCTATGCTGACCACCACCCCACCCCCCGCCACCAAAATAAGAGACTCTTGAAGATTCCTGAAACTTATTGCCATAGATCTCACACTCCAGACAGACCTTCCCATGTAAAAATATTTTTTTAAGTATGTCCTTCATTCATAGCAAGCCAAGACACCACTGTACAACTCTAAAGACACATCTACGACAAAAATCTATTCGACAAGGCTATCCATGATAACTTCAAATTCATGTCTGTAGATCAACACTTATTTTATTTTTTTGCTCCATTAAGCTTCATTCATTTTCATTGGCAAGCTTGAGCTCTACTGTTCAAAAATTTCTAAAGAAATAACTGCAAGAGGTACATGCATTCAATAAAAAGCCTTTTTAGGCCGGGCGCGGTGGCTCATGCCTATAATCCTAGCACTCTGGGAGGCCGAGGCGGGCGGACTGCTTGAGGTCAGGAGTTCGAAACCAGCCTGAGCAAGAGCAAGACCCTGTCTCTACTATAAATAGAAAGAAATTAATTGGCCAACTAATATATATAGAAAAAATGAGCCCAGCGTGGTGGCACATGCCTGTAGCTCCAGCTACTCGGGAGGCTGAGGCAGGAGGATCGCTTGAGCCCAGGAGTTTGAGGTTGCTGTGAGCCAGGCTGATGCCACGGCACTCACTCTAGCCTGGGCAACAAAGCGAGACTCTGTCTCAAAAAAAAAAAAAAAAAAAAGGCTTTCTATGTTCAAATTCCATAACCAATATTAATTAATTTGGGCACTGTTACCCTTCCAGCTCCAAGACGGGAAGGACAAACAACAGCGCCCCACGAGGGCAAGCTCGCCATTATATTCAGGGCAACCCGATTATGGTGACCACTGGCGCACTAAGAAACACCCCCGGCTTAAAAGCAACTCACTTATTTGTGGAATACAGAGCAACCACATGTTCCAGACCCTCATTCTCTTCCCATAAAGGGGGAGAGTCCTTGTCAGGGACAAATGAGTGTCCGTGCTGGAGCTGGCCCTGATGAAACAAGTCATTATTAAGAAAATTCAATCACCGTAGGCAGATGATCTTGGAACTGCATGTGAACGCGCCTGTCTTTTAAGACATGTGATTCTTTTCTTGTTCGATGCAAGGAATTTTTTTTCCCCTGAATTATCTGGCTTTTTTTTTTTTTCCTTCTCTGACCCGTTCCCCTTTCTCGCCCTCCAAAGGGTGGAAATCTGGGAATGAGCAAAGTGTGGCTGCAGAAAAGTGGTATCATCTGGAAGAGGAAGAGGAAGAGGAAGAGGAAGAGGAAGAGGAAGAGAAGAGAAGAGAAGAGAAGAGAAGAGAAGAGAAGAGAAGAGAAGAGAAGAGAAGAGAAGAGAAGAGAAGAGAAGAGAAGAGAAATAGCTATTGCATCAGGAGCGTGTGCTTCCAACTAAAGGATACGGAAATTTTGGGTGGCAGAGTGTGGCGAGTGGCGCGAAAAGTAGGTACCAAGCCGCGCAGGGTAGATTTTCAGGACTTGAACTTCCGATTATCCGCTCACTCCAAGGACCAAAGGTCTGGGAAAGACGCGAAAAGTTTTCCGTAGGAAAGCTGACTGCTACTTGGAGACACTTGGGGAAACTGTCACAGCTCCCGGGACAAGCACCAACTTCCCCCCTTCTAAGAGGAGAGCGCTGTCCCGCACCAAGGAAGGAGAAAAAGTGTCCCCGCCCTGCGGACCTCACTTGGCGCGGTGAGTACGCGCGCGTATTCCAGCCGGGGACGGCGGGCCGTCCCGGCTCAGGTCCTGCAGAGCCAGAGCTGGGGGGCACGGCGGGATCGGGGTGCCCCGGCCCGAGCTCCCCGCAAGGCTTCGTTCTGCGCGCCGCCGGACCGCGTCTCAGCGCCTGTTCCCGCCTGCGGGGCCACCTCCCGCCCCCGCCTCCCGGGAGCCCGAGGGCGCGTCGGCTCCGCGGGACACGCTCCAGCCGAGTCCCCAGGCGGAGACCAGCGTCACGGAACTGGGCTAGAGCGCCGGAGAACGTCGGCTGGCTGGGTAGCCTTGGGCCAGCCTCCGAGCCTCAGTTTCCCCACCGGTAAATGAAGGAACCCACAAAGTGTCAAGTCCCTCCCCAATGCTCCAGCTCTGTGATTCCGAGTTGGATCGAGCCTTCCAGACGCTGTCCGCCCGCACCCGACCTCTCCGCCTCGCCCCCGGGGCGTGGGCTCCTTACCCACGGAGGCGGCCCGGGTCTCCACGCACAGCCACAGGGCGACGGCCAGCAGCGCCTTGCTCTCCATCCTGCACCGGAGCCGGGCGCGGCGCCCCGGACCCGGGAGCCGCTTCCCTGTCCCCAAGCCTGCCGAGCAAAGGAGACGCGGGGTGGCAGCAGCGCGGGACCCCGAAGATGCCCCGGCCCCGGCCGCGGCTGCGGGGGACTCCTGCGTGCGCCCGCGGGAGAGGCTCCCCGGCTGCGGGACGGGCTCTGCGCTTTCTGGAGCGCGCAAGTGACGCCCGGCGCGGGCGGAGGAGACGCGGCGGCCACGCGCAGCCTGCTCGCCCGGGGTCCCGGGACTGCGCGGGGTGCGAGCGGGCGCCGCGACTCTAGAGCGCTGGGGCGGGGCCGCGGGGGGCGGGGCCGCGGGGCGGGGCGTGGAGGGGGCGGGGCTCTCCTGTGCCGCCGGCCCCGCCCCTCACCCGGGTACCGGCCGGGGTCTCGTGCCCCCCGCGCCTGCTGCAGCCCTCCCCTTTCCCCGGGAGCCCGGGACTGCGCCGCGCCCGAGTCGCCGCGGGGAGAACATCTCGGCTCTGGAGGGAACAAACTGCAGCTGGTCACCGGCTCTAAGCCACTCCAAGAGCCACTTGGCCTCTGGCCTCATTGGTTTGGGAGCATCACCAGGAGCGCAGGCCAAGCGCAGGAACCAACCCTCTTAGCGTCGCGCGCATCTGAACTGGCCAAGCAGCAGCAGCAGGTTGCAACAACGAGGGACAACGAGGGACACTGAGCCAAGACGTATGCAGGCTCGCAAACTGGCAGGGACTCCAGCCAGCAGTTTTGATTTTTTGCATTGAAGTGTTTGTTTGAGAGTGTTTTGTTTGGGCAGCACAACTGTAGCTTAAAAATCTGAATCTGATTGCCATTAATCGGAAAATGCACTTGCCTGGTTCTCCACGCTTCCTGCTATTTCCTCTTCTACCTGGCGGCTTTAAATATTTTGAAGTTACCTGCCTGACCCCAGGAGGGTTTGGGCCCCCTACCTGGCTCTGGCCAAAAGCCTACAGCAGGGCCCCAGGGAACTGGAGGTCCCCAAGGCTCCAGCGTACCTGCGGCATGGAGGTCACTTGTCCCTCGAATGAGACTCTCTGGACAAGGAATCCGTAGCATAGTTTTGGCCAGGCCCCTTTTCAGAGCGCAATTTCCAGCCAAGGTACCCTTAGGGCAAGGGAGGAAGTTTCGCGGGGAGAGCAGTGAAGCGAAAGCACCCAGGACACTCTGTGACCAAACCTCACAGCCGTCTCTGCGCGTGTGGACTTCTGATTGGAGGGGAACTCAGGTTCCTTCCTGATCACATTTGTTCCCTCTTGTTTTCTTTCGCTCCATCTCTCCCCACACCCGGGGAGTGACATAAAATGTTCCCAAACCTCATTAGATAGGGATCTTCCAGATCCTTCTGTCTCTTAACTTCCCAGGTGCTTTTGGATGACAGCCTAAAGGACTATCCTTCAGCAAGATGAAGAGACAAAATTATTATTTTTACATCTCATCCAAACTAGATTAGTTGTACACGATTGATGTAAAGTGTTGCTCTTCTTCATCTGTTTTCAAATATTGACTATATTTGCTGTCGTTTTCCAGGTTGACAATTGAAATATTTTAAGACTATCTGAAATATAATGAATGTATATGGTTAAAAATTTTTGGAAAAAAAAGTACAAAAAGGTTTAGAGTGAAAAGACCTTTCTTTGGTAAAGACAAGCAATTTTTCGTAAAAGCAAGACATCCTTTTTTTCCAAGCAAATTCTGTACACATACAGGTATATAGGTATATACCTGTATATACCTCTTTCCATGCATGGTAGCTTGGTATAAATGCTGTTTTGAGCCTTGGCTTTTATCACTCTAAAATATACCTTGAAGATCATTCTACATAAACCCTTAAAGCTCCATCTTTTTGATGATGATGCGGTATTGCACAGTATAGATGCACTAATATCTATCTAGGAGGTATTGATTTGGGGCAGGGGAGAGGATCTTTAAAGAAACTTCTACCTTCCTGCTAGTAAACTTAGCAAATAAAACAGAATGGGCTCTGGCAGAGTTGGATTAACTAGAGGGAGATGGACCCTGGTTTGGAGAAAGCTATTTTTCTCCACCTCCATCACCAAACAATTCTTCTCTCTCAACCTTATTTACAATTCATGACACTTCCTCTTCCATGTCCCATTTAGGAAGATAGTGTCTCCTCGGAATGCAAACCAGAACCTGCAGGCCCATGGTAATAGCCCCCTTTAGGAGTCTTAGAGGAAATGATGAGCCTTTGATGGCTGCAAGACCAGAAGTTGGCAGAGTCTCAGTGAAATCAGTCTACCACACTCCCTCCCACGCAGCGCTTAGAAGTGCCTTGTGTTCATGAAAAGTGGCAGAGTCTGTTAAAAAAGAAAAAAAAAAAAAAACTCTGTTCCATGTGCAATGCCCTTCCATTATCTGGCATTGCAAAGAGGAGTGATTTTTGTGAGTTAATCTGTCAGTACAGGTAAGGCCACCATCTAGCGGAGTGCAGCCAGTGACCCATAGGTGCTGTTCAGACACAGTCCCCGGAGAACAGCAGGGTGTTGGCTAGTGCACAGACTCTAGGGCCACTGCCTGGATTTGACTTCCAGATCTACCACTGGTTATCTGTGTGATCTTGACCAACTTACTGGCGATTTACCTACGAAGCACACAAAAGACTATTATAGTACTTTCTTCATAGCATTTTTT